CACGCACACGAATACGCATACGTGCACGTTTTCACCCCACCCATTGCAACCATGTGATATATAGCCCCTTGGAGGTCGATGACTTCCGCTATTTTTCTTCCGCTGTCTCCAGCAAGCAACTTCCCCTCCCTGGCTTTGGGTAGACCGTATACTTTCTACCGAGAATATTCTACGAACCGTGGACATCGACCGTTTCTATATCCGGAAGATTCGTTTCGACAGTGGACAAAAGTCAAACTTCCTCTCTATGATTTAAACAAAAAAATTGTCTAAATTGCTAAGAACGAACGTTATGCAATTTTCAATCTTTATATCAAAATTTAATTCAACAGTTCTCTAGTGACGCTTTTCAAATATATATATATATATATATGAGAGATTCTTTTTCAATCGCCCCAGCCCAAAAAGTCAATGTTCTGGGATTGGCTTCATACTTTGGTAAATTGTTGTCCTATATGATAGTAATAAATCCCTAAAATATAAATTAATTAAAAAAATATTTGTAGAAAGTAGAGGTGGTTGAAGTTTTGACGTTAAGGGTAACATTGTCATTTTCAAATCCGTTTAACTATCACAAAAGTTAATGGATTTTAATATATCTATAATGAATTTTATTGCATTTTTCACGTACTTTTCAAAAATGTATATGAAATTTAAAAAAAAAAATTTTTAACCCCTTTTTTGTCAAAATCAACCCTTATTTTTCGATTTTCACCCCTTCGGGTATTTTTTTTTTTTTTTTTTTTATTTTCATTGGAAAGCTGAGGTTTTTTCCGATGAGCTATGTAAATATGAAAATGGGACAACAATAATTTTGTGAGTAACAGAATATTAAAGTAGGCGGTGCCGATAAGGGTGCCGTTAAGGGTAACATTGTCATTTTCAAATCTGTATAACTATGACAAAAGTTAATGGATTTTAATTTATCTATAATGAATTTTATTGCATTTTTCACGTACTTTTCAAAAATGTATACAAAATTTAAAAAAAAAAATTTTTGACCCCTTTTTTTTCAAAATCAACCCTTATTTTTCGATTTTCACCCCTTCGGGAATTTTTTTTTGTTTTTTTTTTATTTTCATTGGAAAGCTGAGGTTTTTTCCCATGAGTTATGTAAATATGAAAATGGGACAACAATAATTTTGTGAGAAACATAATATTAAATTAGGCGGTGCCTATCTAAATCCTCAAAGATGATCTCCAGGTACACCCCTTATCGGCACCGCCTACTTTAATATTCTGTTACTCACAAAATTATTGTTGTCCCATTTTCATATTTACATAGCTCATCGGAAAAAACCTCAGCTTTCCAATGAAAATAAAAAAAAAAAAAAAAAAAATACCCGAAGGGGTGAAAATCGAAAAATAAGGGTTGATTTTGACAAAAAAGGGGTTAAAAATTTTTTTTTTTAAATTTCATATACATTTTTGAAAAGTACGTGAAAAATGCAATAAAATTCATTATAGATAAATTAAAATCCATTAACTTTTGTCATAGTTAAACGGATTTGAAAATGACAATGTTACCCTTAACGTCAAAACTTCAACCCCCTCTACTTTCTACAAATATTTTTTTAATTAATTTATATTTTAGGGATTTATTACTATCATATAGGACAACAATTTACCAAAGTATGAAGCCAATCCCAGAACATTGACTTTTTGGGCTGGGGCGATTGAAAAAGAATCTCTCATATATATAACATCTTAATTTCGTTTATTATGAAAACTGTGAAAATAATCTTTAAGATTATGTATATCATTACACATAAATTACAGTGGTGCATATTTTTATTTCACGTTTTAATTATTTGGTGATATATTACATGGATTACTTTGGCCTAATCAGTTTTATTATACGGAATATGAGAGGAACCATTCGTGAAATTAAGCGCTGAATTTAAAACAGAAGTACCTGGACAGACCTCTTTTCGTTGACGCGATAAATAATTAATGATCGAGCAGTCTGTTTGTTGGGACAGTCTATAAACCACTTAATATTTATAAGGTATGAGAGGCATAAGTGGTGATCGTGGGATGCAAGATGGGGAGGAGTTGATCCGAAGAAGATCACTCTTTTTCGTCTTATATGGCTCGCGTACATTATTTAGATATTTTAATTAACCGATCGGCTATAAATTATGATAATTGACGGTACGTCCTTGCAAGTAAGGGCTTCTTGTTCCTTGTCGCGAGTTTAACGAATTCCATTGAGCATGATTTCTGCCAGACTGATAGGAAATTAATCTTCAATAAATAGTTTTTACCATTAAAATTAATATTTATGCATTGTCTTAACGCTTTTAAAAAATTATTACATTAAAAAAATCGTATTCTTTTTTAATTACTTTTTCTGATATTGTTTCTGCCGTGCAATTAATGTACAATTATGGTTGGCGGGATATAAAAATAAGTGTCATAGAAATTGGTTAGAATTGTGAGTGGTTTAGCAGAATGTGTAAATTACCTCGAAACCCGCAGCTCTGGTTTTTAAATATCTTTTACAACTTTGTAACTAATATTTTCTGAGTCGAGTAAATCTCGTTCAACGTGAATAATTTTCGTTTAATAATTTAGCCTTAATGGCAAGTCGGCTAAGGTTAGTTAAAGTTGAATTTGATTTTCTTTCGGCGTGGCTCCATAATTCAAAGAAACCCATTTAGGGAGTGTCCGTAAGTCTGCATAGATGTCATTAAAAGCAGAGTTTATTGAATCGGTGCTTAAGAAAATGAACCAACAGCTCGATCGAACGACCACATCGTGCGAAACTATTTCTTGTTCATGTGGACATAGTGAACTAATCCTGGCTTACTGGCGACGAGCGTAATAATCTTAAAGGAGGATCTAAAATTCCGGCAATGCGTGTACATAAATAGCTTAGCATGGGACCGAAGGGAGTTTCTCATAGTGCACGTCTTTGCAAATCTCCCTTCGAGCCCTCTGTCTCTGTTATTGGAAGACTCCGTCTCTTTCTCCTTTCTCTGTTGCCACTCCGGTTGTCTCTCTCCGCCTCTCAACGAACGATTCCTTAATTTCCCATATTGTGGTCTGGTGGCTATCTAATACTCCCTGCTGCGTTATAGCGCGGTTTAATCACACTACAAGCGCATCCCTCGTTAGTGGGATATCGCCCGAGTGGCTATAATATGAGACTACATTCCACGGAGAGACCTGAGACGGCTTGGCGATATACAACGATGGTGGGTTCCTTGCTGTTGTTGCTGCCGCTTACTACTGCATTGGGATCTATAATAATCTTACGCGAGTTGTTAAAGTATCTAAAAGACTGCGCTTCTCGCGCGAGCTCGAAAAACACTCTTAAAGGGGAGACCGTTCGCAATAATTGTGATTTACGATTCGGCCGCGGTTCAAGTAAAACGCGCCGAGCCAGCAAACCTTCATCTTTTCATACCTTCTAACCTTCAAAGTTCTGCCTTTAAATTCAAGCAAATCATGAGAGAATCTGTCCTCTTATTTAACATCGCTGCAATTTTAATTCTTTATTAGTGATTTTTTTAAAAGTCTTACAGAACTTTCCGAGCATTAGCAAAATTGCCAAGTTAATGATTTTTACTGCTTTTTTTATAAAACTTACTAATACAATACTCCTTTGCAGTAAGCAAATTTTAAGAAAGCAAAAATAGAATACGATTTGGGATTCAACAGAAATTTCTCCCAAGTTGAGAGTGCCACCGTCTATATGCAACACATAATGATTACTTAATCTTACGATTTGTATACAGTTTATTTTTAATTAGTTACATTGAAAGTTTTCAATTTCATTGATTCTAAAAGACAAATTGAAAATTAATTAACAGTCATGCGATTTGCGAGTCACATAATTTGAATGACCCTTATAATTATTCGCATCTCTGTATATTTTTCTTGTTTAAGTTTAATATTTCTTCTGTGATCCTGATTGTCTGGTTTTTTTTATAAGCTTTATTATTATCTCTTTATTGCAAAATTCTAATTATTTTTCACATTTAAATCAAAACTCACCTTCATTGAAATTTCGATTTACTTTCTGCAATATTCCATCTACAAATGTCTATAGCTATTAAAAAAAAGAAACGTCGCAAATCTCTAACTGTCTTGAATTTCTTAAGAATTTGTTGCAACTCTTAAGAAAAGACAGCAAAACGTGAAGATTTATGTTCATCGATATCAATAACAACGGGGCGCCGTGATGTTTATATCGTTGCAGATCGAGGTCGCTGGGCGATGTAAAGGGTTTAGCATAAGAAAGGCTTAAATGCCGTTGCACAATGAGGCTGTGGTCCCTATGTGCATTCGAGATTCCGAAGCGTCGACTCTAGAACTATCTCATTCCCTCACTTTCTCTCCAGTCTTGCCGAGGGTGGTGCACAATCAGTGGTCCTGATTTATTGTAGCAATATACATTAAGATACCGACATTAAAACTAGGGGAACTACCCACGAACATATACAATCGGTCCAAGTGAGTCCCTGTTACTTCTGATGATGACAGTCTAGCTTTGATGAAAGACAAAGAATTTATCTTCTCGAACAAATGAAAGTCAGTTTTAGATTTTTAATCAAATTAAAGTCGAAATTATCATGTTTATATTTATAGATGGTGTGCACTTAAACTAATTCTTTCACTACTATTTAGTGATATTTTGAAGCAAAAAATTATTTTCTAATTATGAAATTAAAATTTTCCAACTTTAAAAGGGGGGGGGTACTTAAAATCTATATTAGTAATTTTCTAATTTAAACGCAGTGTCGTAATTTTCACTATTTCATTCAGTGGTTATCACTGATCGAGATTTAAAGAGTAATTTAATTGTTTTCTTTTATGAACTATTGCAAACACTAACCACACAGCTCGTCATCTCGATGTCCTTTTTCCCAGAATTCTTCTCTTCTCCTTAAATTAATAGAAGAAGGGAAAAAGGAATCAATTAACGGATGGCCAGCTAGACCATTACCAGCATGCCAATAACGGATCAGAGTTCTAACCGTAGTAACGTGTAGTATTTCCGCCATTGTCTGCAGGTCCAAGCGGTGCTTACAGTCCGGATGCAACGATGGGTTACATGATGGACGGACAAGCAGCCAGTATGATGCACCGGCCGCCTGGTGATCCAGCCTTCCACAATCAATACCACTATCCACCAGAATATTATGGTCATCACTTATAAAGGTGAGTTTTTAAACTTTTTCCACGCGTTCTCTGAAGATTCAATTTATCATGAGAATTCATCCAACTGTCATTTTCTTTATTATTAAGAAACTATATTTTCATAGAGAACCCTCTTTTCTGTGATACGCTTATTATGAAGGGTTCCCAACAGATTTCACAGTTAGAAAAAATTCATGGGATCAGGTGCTAATCGACGATCCATAAATATGGATCTGGCATTATTTAAAAGCATATGATTTTTAAAGCCTTCAGAATTTTATTCAATTTATAACTGCATGTATAAAACTTCATAATAATAAGAGGCAGTAACTTTTTGTTAAAAAATTTATCAAACGAGTATACATTTGATGTAGTTATACATATTTCAAGTTTATAAAGTTTTTAGGTTTCACAATGAGATACCAAATTTGGAGCGTTAAATTTTTATTCCTGTCATAACTAAAGTGTCAAAGATTTAATGATTTTTATATTCTGGTTTTTAAAATTTTAACTACTTCATTCAGGGATAGTATTTTCATTTATATTTACTTTTTCAACCAGAGAATTATTTACGCTTTTACATATCTAATGCACTGAATGTATTTCGAAATTTAAATGCATAAAATGTATATCACTTTGAATTTTAAAATAATTTAAGTTGTGTTATCACTTAAAATATTTTAAATAAATAATATTTTATTAATAAATAATAATTAATAATTTAAAATTGTTCCAATCAATGTGTAAAAATAATTAATAATGGAAATCTTTTGGGACTGAAATAAGATATATAACACATCTTAACGTTTCAAGATCGGTACCGATCTCCTCATCAGAATTTATTAACCTAAAATCAATTATTATTTTATAAATAATAAAACGTAAATTATTATGAAAAGATAAATATTTATAAAAAAGGATATTCGCAGTAAGATTTGTAATCAAAGTATTGACTAGAGTTTGTTAGTTCGGAGTTAGATTAATTTTTTTTTACTAGAGTAAGCTGGTGGATCAGTGCGGTTCCACTGAGTTGGATTTCACTGCTTGACACCTGAATTATTGTTTATTTTTCTTAGCTTTGCATCCCAACTCTTCGAGCGCTAAGCAGTGATACTCCGACTTAGCGGAGTCACGCTACTTCACTGGCGTGCTCTAATTATTTAACCCTCCGTTGAAACACTGGGTCATTTTGACTCAGCAGGTTTTTTTTCTGTCGCAAATAAAATTTGAGCTTTACAGTTTATAAAGTGTAAATGGTTTTTAGATAATAATAATAATAATAATAATAATAACTTTTTATGTTTCAGCTGGATGCAGAATTAGAAGAAAAAATTAGGTTCTGTAAATGGACCTTATGAAAAAAGGGGGCAGGACGAGGGTGAAGCTTGGCTAACCAAGCTCCGACCCCAAAGACCACGTCGCTCACAGCCACCTAGACCACCGCAAGTGAAGGTGCCGACAATTCTTGCCGCATAAATGCCAAACTGCGAGGACGTGTGCCGAAAGAAATGAAGACGCGGAACAAAATTCCGAGTAGGTCCGGAAGTGGACAAAGTCAAAGAAGAACGATCCAGAGTAACCACGCGGATGAATCAAAAACAGAAATCAACCATCTTATCCCTGGTGCTAAACACGATTTATCCGTAAAAAAAGAGTCGAAATGGACGTAGAATCGAGAAAAATAAAGGGAAAAGTAGAAAAATAATTTATAAACAGAGAAAGGCTGTCGCTGAAGAGAAAAAAGGCAACCGGATATGAAAGGGTCGCGAAAAGAAATTCATGTGATTGTTCTTTGTACAAAATATTGCGGTGTAATATTGTAGTGATTGAAGATATTAAATGTTAAATTTTAATACGATCACAATTGAGGAGACTATATATATATATATACATACATATATATAAAATGATAGGATATAGGAAATTTTAGCGGGCATGTACATTACCTGGATGCTCGCATGTCGAGTGCGAAGCGAGTCACGAGATCTCTGAGGATAAAGACTAATGGGTTGAGGAGCGGAGATGAGAAAAAAATTTAAGAGGAAAACAAAAGGTGGCTTTAAAAGAAATCTGTGACCAGGCTTCGACGCGTAAGCGTGTGCTGGACTTGGGATCCAAGTCCCCTGCGACCTAATAGGACATTGAATTTGTACAGTTCTTACTTATAAATAAATTTACTAACTAAAAAAATTATATATATATATATATAAATATATGAGGGTATATATATATATATATACATATATTTGAAAAGAATAATTGCAAAAAATGTACTTCCCCTCCTCCTCGCTCCTGAACCTGTAATATAGAAGGGAAAACGAGACACATTGGGAGGAGCAAAACTTCAGGGAGGAGCTGCTAGAGGGGATAAGAGTGAGCGACTCGAAATTATTTCCCGCTCCATCCGCCATGTTTGAGAAGCGCCCCGATCGGCTCCACTCTTAAGAATTAATTAAAAGGTTAACGATTACGATTTATGATAATATATTGTGTATAAATAGTTAATTCAATTGAGAAAACGAGAGGGGAGCTATAGATGCGCAAAAGAGCGTTCACAAAAAAACCCAGAATAAAGTCTGAGTGCGAGTGCGAGTGTAAGAGTGGAGAGCAATGTATTATAGAGTATACATATTATATATAGAAGTATGTGAGTAGGTATTTAGGGTGCGAAAGTACAGTTTTTCGTTTTGTTCGTTCGCATTTTTGCTCCCTTTCGAAGCACCTCATCAATGTTTCAGCAACACCTTGACATGCTTCTTTTCATTTCACACCCTTCTTTTCTTTTCGAGATTCGTCCAGAGTTGTACAGTACGATAGTTTTGAGGAAACCTAATTATACCGTGTGGAAAAATTTTCCGGAAGTCTAATGACTGCCTTGACCTATTAGTGGCTCTTGCCATTAATGTGACTGTTTATATTAAAAGTGTATTTTATATTAAATTTCTTTTTTCTATTGGTTAATTTTTGGAAAAAAGTATTTTACTGTGTATATGTATATAGTAATATTTTAAATTCATATTTTTTTTCTTTATACATGTATGCAAAACCCTCATGTGACCTCCACCTTACTGAAATGCTAAATTGCATAAAAAGTATGGTAACTTTCATAAGTTTTGAAAATGAAAAGATAATTCCACATATTATTATTACGTAAAATGTATTGGCAGTTGGACTCTATTTTTTAATCTCGTACCTATATATTTAGTTAAAGACGTTGACATGAGTTAAAATTACATTTCATTGTAAACTTTTTTCTGGTGTGGATTTAGTTAGCCTCGGGTTTTACATACATTTATAAAACAAAGTTTTCTATTCTTGTGGCCTCACATATGTGGTCCTCGCTCAGCTCGGATAATCAAAATTTTCCATTACTTTTTAAAAATATCTTACTAATTTACTCGAAACAATAACTTTCTAGTACTTAAAAATATTTTTTTTCCTATAACTCAGATTCTATTCATAAGGTTAATAAGTTTTTATATTTTATAACTTAATTAAGAAAGATTCAGTGGTTGAATCCCTCAGTTTAAAGCCAAAAGACGCGAATTTGATTTTTATAAACTTTGGACTTTTTGTATCAGCTTTTAAGTGATTTCATTCTCTATGTTCTATAATTGTAATAGCAATTTAAATTGTAAATAAAATAATGTAAATGATATAAAAAAAATTTCTTTAAGATCAGATTCTCTAGGCTGAATCCGTGGATGAATATACTTGCTGAATAGTATCAGGGTATTTCCCTTCTGCTTACCCAGACCAGACGTTATGGTCAAGAAAATTATCCACACGGGATGACAAACAACATTTAGGTTTTAATAACATGCTATCATACTTACTTTCTTCTTTGAAGGAATATCAATTAAAGCTTCTTTTATATATAAAAGGGTTATGTGGAATATAATTTTATTAATGAGTGAAGGTCCTTTAAGTGCATTCCGTATTTTTGGATGATGAATTTTATTTTTCAATTGTGAAAATTGGTTTCAATCCAAATTTAAAGATTCTGACAAAAAATTACTAGAAAAAGAAATATATCTTAATTTGAAATGTTTTAATATAACTTTAAAGTTATTTAAAATTTATGTAGTTATTTATTTAAAAATATCTTACTCAAAGACGCTAATAGTATATTAATAACAATGCCTTACATAAGTGTCAGGGAAGAGATTAAAAATGGGCACTACGTGAGATAATTTGTTTGTTACATTTTGGCAACTAGTTGACCTTTTATGTATGTTTAATTTAAATCAGTAACAATTATACATAAATTTATTAATGTAATAAGCAGTACAAAATAAAGTTTCGCTCATGAAAACTAAAATGCAAAAGAACCAATTTTCTAAATTGAATTTGCTTTATTGCCTTCCACGTATTCAGTTAAGATTTGCCTTCGACATCTGTACATTTCTACACGTCATCTTTGTTGTGCGCGCGTCCCTGATATACGTAATTAAAGAGATGTGTCGAGACTGGAGGAGAAGGGAAAGAAGTTTTTAAAGATTCCTTATTCGAAAAGTCTTTCTAATGTAATGTAAAGATGGAGGATTTATCAGTGATTTCACGTTAACGATGACTACAATGATGATTATTATTAGCATCGTACTTTGAGGAGGATTGACAGTGAAAATTAAGAGAAAGAGCGAGAGAGATTATAAAAATTTATCCATATTTTCACTATGTCTGCTTACACCAATTAGGAAAAATGATGAAAAACGCTATACATTTTACATTTCCTAAAAACTCTCGTCGCCAGGGCAGAAGCTACACAATTGCAGGCCACGCTTGCCTGCTCAACAAGTTCATACTTACTTTGATAGTTTTGAACATTACAAGACGCATCCTGCTATGGACAAAATTTCGGTCTATATTTGAGACTGGTCAGGAATGTTTCAAGACAGGTATTTTTGTCCTAAAAATTGTGTAACTTCTTCTCATGGTTATCGACGTTCTAGTATACTAAAAAATGAAACCTACGTATACCGAAAGACTCAGGTGCGCTGAAAGAGTCACTGATTTGGTTAATTGGGGAAATTGTTCAAGATACTTTATAAACGATAGCTCAAGAATGTTTGGTCAATTTTATGATCAATGAAAATGTAGAAACATGTGAATATTATATTTCTCCAATTAACCATCGACTGTTTTATATGCCTTCAACCTAACAGGAGCCGAGGTTTTGAGTAATTTGAACAGAAAGATAAATGTTATTCTTTTCAAACTAGACAATATGGTGTATTTTAAAACTGATGAAAATATTCACAATAAAATTGTTTCATCGGCAAACAAGTTTTCCATTGTATTATTGCTATTGTATTAATCTCCAATGTTTTTGAACAATATTTGTCGAAAACTTGTCATTATAAGCGTTACGATTAATCCCTGGCTGGATAATTTGCAGTTGTATTTGTTAAATTGGCTAGATTTTTTAATTTTGTTAAACCCCTGCCAGTCAATTAATCGCCACGTTTTCCTCACTACTTCGGCCCTTCGATTATTTCTGTTTAATGACTCTAATACAATATGTATACTTAGCACTCGATTCGCTCTCAACTAACCCACTTTTCGCTTTAAATGAATTGTCGATTTTAGAAATATTTAGAAATACTTAGAAATATTTTTTACAAATATTTTAAAAGACATTGTTTTCAATGAAAATATCTCGAATATTTTTCATATTCGAATGGTTGGGCGAATTCGAGTGCAAAATTTGAGAGGAGAAGAGTAATACCGACGCATCATTGGCTGTTCGTTTAAAAATGAGTTCAATTAATTGAATCATCGCCTTAAAAATGTATACGAAATAATCACTAAGGTATCTAAATGATAATCATGTTAGAAGGTATAAAACTGAAGTAAAGAAATTTTTATGAGCAGCGACAAAAGCAAGAAGACAAGAGTAAACGATTCGCATGAATGAAGCGTGCTAGAGAGAACAAGTTTTGCCAATTGTGAAAGAGTACTGTACAATTATTGTATAATTATTATGGATGCTTATGTTGGTGTTGATGATCGTGAAGATGGAGGAACGGCGTCAAGAGCGACGATGATAATGATGATTATTATTATGATCATAATGATAAACAATAATGATAAGGATGATGTATAGTAACCTAAAATTTATTATATCGGTATGAAATCGGACTCTTTTTTTTTCTTCCACTGTTGGCGCATTGACTATAAACAAATCGAGTTAATAAAACAGCAGAAGATGGTGTGCAAAAAGAATTCGACTGTAAAAATTGTCACGAACAAACTCTATCCCGCTTACTTTATAATTGTTAGAATGGACAGAGAGTCCACGGGATTTTCCAATGTTTCCTGGAAAAGTGACTTGGCTCGCTCAAAAATTTTATCTCTTGAAACTGTTGATTTTTAATATTTGCATTTTTTTGATTGTTGAATGTTCGCCTCTTGGAAATTTTGGAAATCTCGATAATTTTTGTTATTTAGCGGAAATTGAAAATTCATTTCACGTTTTAAAAAATGGGCGTTAGCGTCTTAAACCATCGCTCACTCGATAAATCACTCGATCACACGTGTGACCTTACTGTCTTTCGTTAAAGGTCACACGATTACGACGAAACAGAAAAGGAAAGGATGATATTGCTGATAATGATGTCAAGGTGGTCTATGTTAGAGAGTGTCCATTGTATAGTGTTTTTTGAAACGTGAGCATTAAATGCTACATCTTGTGTAAATACGTGTATTTTCATTTCAACTCAGCGAAATTGTTTCAGCGACTCTATAATTTAAGAATAAATAATCATAAACAATTATTAGAAAAGTTTCTTTTCATAATTAAAAACAAAAATGCACAACAATTTTATTTATGATTCAGAAACAGTTTCGCTGAATGCAACAACCTTTTCTTAATTCCTTATTGCTGTAATATTATTCAAGTGAACTCTTGAGATTCATTCAAGTTCGAAATCATAAAAATAAATCAAAAAATATTTTACTTATCCTCTTTTACGCATTATGGATACATCTCTGAAACTGCTTGAACGCATTGTCAAACAAAGATGGTAAGAAAATTCCAACAGACCAGCAACTTGCCTGAGTTTACTGTACTTAACAAAAACAGACAGTTTAAAATCATGTTAAATTAACGACACGATATAATTACAAAAAAAAATTTTAGCATCACAATTCTTCACTAATAACTTTCAGTCAACAATTGAAAAAAGTAAAATAAATGACTTAAAAACAATAAAACCATTAGTACCTATAAGTTAACTTAATTAATGCTTGTGAAACTGAAAAAATACAGTTATAAACATTTTTTTCTCGAAATTAAAAATATTAATATGGAAAAATCAACTATTATTACTCAAAATAAAGTGAAAAAAAGAAATTTTAATAAAAAAGATTAAAACATTTTGATAACATAAGTTTAGTCCTCCCCGTGCACACAGGCCTGATTAGGAAAGTTAATAGGTAAAAGTTTGTCAGCAATCTATCAATGGTTTTGCTTTATTTTGGATCTCTTGACAAGCTTCAACTGAAAAGCCTGATGAAACTTCAGTGGCCTGCATAAAACGAGCATTTTCGAAAGGCAGACAGCATCCCCTGGACCTACGTCTGTGCCTCTCTTTATTACTTTTATTCCTCGTATTCTTTTTCTCCCTCTGACTGTTCCTATGGTTCCATCTCTGTTTTCCGTTCTTGAAATATTATAGGGCGGGTGAACGCGTACAGCGGTAGAGCTGGAGGTGCCAATTATCGTTGATGGTTATTCCATGGAAATGGACCTTGTTACGTGTGCGTCGAGAATCAGAGAAGATACCAATTATTTTGGGAGCGTCGATGGCACTTGAAAACCAGCAGCATTTCAGAAAATCTCGACTTGATCTGTAATTGTCGTATTGAATTTCTTGTCCTGTAAAAAAATGTTTGTAGATTGAAAGTGGAGGAGTAATAAAAAATTAACTCAGTATACAAGTAATACAAAAAAGTCAACATCTTAAAGACTGATAAAAGAAATTTTTTCATTGTGGAATGTTTCTTTTTGTTTTCGAGCAAGACATTGATTTTTCATTGAGATTCCATCGGGTTGCTAGCCCCATAATATATTAGGACTGAAAGCCTTCAGGCAAACAATCTCGTAATGGCAGGATGGCTGACCTGGTGGTGCGGTAATGAGATATTAGAGGCGCTGCTAAGGGAGTGGCTACTTCGAGGGAGCATTATATGTGATAGGCACTTGGTTTCACTGCACTAGTTACTAGAGGGCGTTACGCAATACAGCTAAAGGTGGTATTGCTTTTCTCTCCTGGGATCCAATTATTCTCTCACATTCAGTTTCTATGAGTATATACTTTGAAACTGATAGTTACCCGAGGTAATCTTGCTAATTATAATTTAAATGTCTCATACGGATTTTTATTAAGCTATCACAATTGTTTGGAATTTTCTAGTCACCAGAGGCGCTGCTCTCATTCTTTCTCGTAATAAACATTCTTTTTCCTTATAATTCGCAACAAAAAGTTTTTTCTTTTATCACGTTTATATACAGTATCATAAACTCTGTATTGTAAGTTTTCAAGAAGAAATGTTTTTAAATTTACGAGCTTGGGTAATATGTTTTTATGTTTTGTTTGCTCAGTTTTTAAATTTTCCTCAATATTTTTAAGAAAAGGGATTTCTCGTTTGCCTGAGGTTCATCAGATTGTATTCAGTTAGGTTTATAATGGTAGAGACGGTAGAGATACATGGGCATAACACAGTAGCCTAGATCCTAGAGGATACGCATGTATGAAGAGACGGACAAGTTTTGATAATAGAAGAGAAAATATTTCTCTTTCTCTCTCGTACCCTCTCTTCGCAGAGGTACGAACAAATGGGTGTCCCTGCATATGTAAAAGCGGCGCTGTGTTCGGCTCACCCTCTGCCCGGCCATTTGTCAATGTCAAGGCGCGAGCGCCGTAGTCATGGAAACCCCCCGGCAAGCCGAACTGAGCGATCCGACCGAGCGAACGAACCGAGCCGAGCGACCGTGAAGGGAATGCACCCTTGCTTCGTGAAACTACCCCTGGCTAACACCACGCCATACACCCACTCCCTCTGCGAAAGTCGCACGCATCAAGAAGCTTCTCAATGTCCTCACTGCACAAAGAGGGCGCCAACTACAACTATGTCGAAACATTAAGATATTTTCCGAGATAATATTCAGACTAATACTTAAAAATTCCTTTTTTAAAATCTCTATATAAAAGTTTTCATTAACAGCTTCTAAAAAATTAGGATTATGAAAAAGAAACAAAATTTTTCTTAAGTTTTAAAGTTCTTATTGTAATATTACAGATTTTCTACTACTCTCTTAATCTGAGTTTGTAAAAATCGATTATTTTCCTATTGAAAATTCCTGTGAAGGAACACGCATAGGATTCTATTACCAAGCAGCACGGTAAATTCCCTGAATATCCCTTGAGTACCACAGTGGAATATTCTCATGATCTTCCAGGAAAATCAAAATGTCCGCATCATGGGAATATTCCGCAGTGACATTCAGAGTATATTCCAGTGACATTGAGGGAATATTCCTCGGTGATATTCATGGAATATTCCAGTAATATTAAGGGGATATTCAGGTGATATTGAGGGAATATTCCAGTGATATTGAGAGAATATTCCACGGTTATATTGAATTTTTTTTTAAATGTGTTTTTAATCTTCCTGCTTATTTAAATAACAATTTATAACACATTTTTATTATTTCAACACTTTAAAAAAAATTCAATATAACCGTGGAATATTCCCTCAATATCACTGGAATATTCCTTTAATATTACATTCAATGTCACTGGAATATTCCACGATAGTATTCAAGGGATATTCAGGGGATATACCGTGCTCCTTGGGTTTCGAGTTCCTTCGTAAGTTCCCTCGTATGTTCATATGTGGTTTACCACACAGGATCTTTTACAAAAGGATCCTGTAAGGAACTTGTGTGTGAACTATCATGATTTTCCACATGTTGAAAATAATTACAACAGGGGATCTCACGATTTATCCTGTGTAAGATCATGTACAAGTTCTTTTATAAACAACTTTTAATGTAAGATCCTACGTAGGATCCGAGAAATGATCTTGCGTGAGTTTCTTCACGCGATCCTTTTTACGAAATGTTGTATAAAAGTGTTCCTTCACAGTACCCTTAAAGTCTTCCTAAATAGGTTCCTGCAGGGTAACCTTAATAAGATAATTTACAAATTTCTACGTACCTTTTTGTTGCTAAATAATAAGTTTTCCTACGTGGTATCCTTTGAAGTTTCTTTCACAAGTTCGTACGTACCTTGCTCTTGGTAAGTAGTGTGTGTTCCTACATGATATCCTTAGAAGCTTCCATCACTAGTTCGTACCTACAGAACTCTTTATTAGTGTGTTACTATGTGGTATCCTTTGAAGTTTCTTTCACAAGTTTCTACGTACCTTGCTTTTGGTAAATAACATGTGTTCCTATCCACACAGCACTCAAAATTTCCTGAAACTTGACAGAACCTCACACGGCGAGGTTCGGAAACTTCAGTGGCAAGGTTCATACAAGTTTGTGTCGATGTTTAAATGTCCACATGAAATGAATATTTACACGAAACTTTGAGCACGGAAAAAAAACTACAACTGAACCGGTGAAAAACTGAACCGGTTTAGCCAAAACAGCTAAACATTTAGTCGAAAATGAACGAGCGATATTGGCAATATCACCGGACTGGCGATATTGGATTTTAGTTAAAGAACAACATAACCGAAAAATGACAAATATGACAAATTATGTAGAGAGTAATATTAAATGCGTAATTTTAAATCTATTCAATTTTATATTTCATATTACAAACAATTGAAAATAAATTCAAATTAAAACTGTTTTAAAATTAAAGATCACAAAACTTGATATTTGTGATTTAAGAAATATTTCTTGGTAAGAACGGTAAATTTCCAAATATTTTCAATATGGCTGACGAATGAGATTCAACTTATGTTCACTTTAGCCGAATCGGCTAAACATTCGACTATTGCGGTGAAGCTAAATTCCCAGCGCTGGTTGTGTCTTTTTTCATATTAAATATATTCCCAAAATCGTTCGTTCACGTCTTACAATTTTTTTCCGGGAAATATTACACTATAAATATTCACGTGCAATGTTCAGACAATGTTGTGTCAATATTGACATTAAATTTTCGCCTAGTTATAAAAATTTCGTTTACTAATATAATAAGTATAGGTGAATATTGACACAACATTGACTGAACATTGCACGTGAATATTTATACACAGAAAAAACCTAGTCTCATTCTTGTTGCAAATCAAAATGAGCCAATGCTAAACGACATAGACAGTGGCGCCACCAACCTGGTTCATTTTTGTTGCACATCAAAATGAGCCTTCTACATGGCTCATTCTAAGTTCAGTTTTTTTCTGTGTAGTGTAATATTCCCTCAAAGTTTTGTGTAAATATTCTTTTCATGTGGACATTTAAACATCGACACAAACTTGTATGAACCTTGCCACTGAAGTTTCCTAACCTCGCCGTGTGAGGCTTTGTCAAGTTTCAGGGAATTTTGGTTGCTGTGTGGGTACGTAGAAACTTTTAAAGTTTCCTTAATGAGTTCAACATACAAGTAGGAATATATACTAGTAACGATGCAGAACGAACTTTTAAAGGAAACTTTAAAAGTTTCTACGTAGGAACACATTTTAT